CTTGTTACAAGAGCTCTTGCACCCAAAGGCACTATTTCCTTTTAAACAACTAAGTTGGGTTTTTTTTTTCTTTTCCTCCTGACTATTACTCCCTGTAGTACTACTGAGTGCAGCATGTGCCAATGGTTTAAAGATGCAGTACAGGATGGAGCAATTCTAAGTCTCTTCCTGCCTTTGACATAGTTCTGTGAATTCCATAAGCTTTTCAGCAGAGATTCAGACAACAGGTGACCTAACACCTTTATTTTCTATTTTTATTGATTAAAATTGTCATGTAATACTTTTCTCTGGCTCTGCTATGGCAGACAGCAACTATAGGCTCTGCAAAGAATTGTTAGCAATGACAATATAGGGCTCAAAAGATGTGTGTAAAGTCTGGTCTGCATTCATTAATGGGCACTTCCATCAACACAACAGCCCTTTTCTTTATACTGATGTTAGGAGTCCAGAAGCTCAGCCCCAAAGGCATGATTTCTTCCAAAGGCTCTAATAGCTATGTTCTTGTCTGCAACCATATTTTTTGTGTACCTCCTTCACAGTTTCACTACCTGGCTAAAAATAAAAAAATGAAATAACCATAAGTTAGCGACCTATACCTTCCTTAGCAGAGGAAGAGCACTGCCAGGGAAATAAAATGGGATTGATCTTTCTCCTTTGAAGTCAGTTGGAGTTTTGCCATTGGAGTCTTGCCAAATGAGGCATCATAAACCCTACAACTTAAACCCAGATCCCAGGGTAAGTGCCTGAAGCTGGCTAAAGACTTGTGCACTGGAGAGGCAATGAGAGCCATCTCTGTGAAACCCCACACTGGACTCAAATGATTTCTTTTCTTCCTGGAGCCAGAGCTTTCCTGAGACTCCAGCCACGAAGTACAAATGTCATGACAGCCCTGTCTGTTCTTTGCTCTGATCAGCGAGCCTTATCTCCCCACAGAGGGAAGTAGCTGAAGCACAAAGTCTACAGAGAGGGAAGGGAAGTCAGAAGGGCCAACTCCACCTAGCCCTGTGCTGGTTTCTTTAGAAACTAAAACTGCGTGTTAGAGAAACCTCCCGATTGCAAAAGTGGTGATGGTGTTGTTTTTGTTGATTTTTGCTTTAATCCCTTTGGATTGTAGTTCTTTTAGAGTCAATCTAAAGTCTATGGCAGGAGTGGCTGGTTTTGGATCATATGACAAGAAGTTGATTAAAGAAATGAGAATGAGAGAACAAAATAAATTAATTAAACAAAGAATCCTGCATGTTATTCAGCTCATACCTTTATGCTGTTATCTGTCTTTCTCATCAATTTAGGTTGTAAAGTCAATGAGAAAGGGGCCTACCTTGTTACATATCTGTGAAAAAGGACTACACTAGGGGGCACTGGATAAATAATAATGCCCTATAGGTGCCTCTTTTATGAAAACAGATATAGACTCCTATCCCTTTCTCAAGCCAACCTTGGTCTTCAGGGCAGAAATTAGTCAATTTGGTGCTGTCTGCCATTGTCTCCTGTTTCCATTGGCTTCATGTCACTGAGACAGGTTTCCTTCTCTCTCTACTAAGGATTCTTCCTAAGGGTTTTTGCAAAAAACCTTGTTTTGTTACATTCTTTAATTTGCAGTTAATGGCTCCCCGTAGAACCTTTACGTCAGTATGCAGAAGGCTACCCTAAACAGATCTAGCATCTCTGTATGATTCTGGAGGGAATGAGTCCTGGTTAGTAATTTTGCAACTCTTCATTCTTTCCAAGAATCTTTTTCTGGCATTTGTTTCCAAGTATAAGCAAATCTTTCTGGAGCCCACTGGCTACAGACCAATTTTCTCTGCATAGCAAGAACCAAATCCACTTTCTTTACTCTCTACAGTGTATTTATTTCTGTTGTCAGTATATGCAGTCCAGAAATTTCAGAGAGGGAGATTAAGTCTATTTTGACTCGGGCATCATCAGCAGAATGGTTAGTTAAGCAGGTGGTAAAGAATTGGTAAAATAAATGAGATTTTAGCCACGGTGGTAAGGGAGAAGTTTGAGTCCCATGTTCTTCAAGCATTTTTAGTAGTGATAGCTAGACTTAACTTTGTACTTACAGCCTGAACTGATGTAGGCCTGGAAGCCAATGAGAGATTAAAGATGTAGACCCCAAATTGTCATTTTATGGAGTTGCTTTTCAATGGGACCATATTTCAAAGACATATTAATGTAGCTCTCACTATTAATAAATAATAATAATAATTACTCTATTAATAATTAGTAGAGATTAAAATCCTATTTCTGGTATTAATGCAAAACTCTTAATTGTCCATCAAACCGAGAAACTTGCTTTTGCCCTCTTTGATTAACCTTGAGATGGGGAATTTAACATATACTAAATATACTCTGCAAATTCAAAACAAAATCCCAGAAAGCTTAAATAATACGGCACTCTTTTTCTAAGTCTTTTTTAAAGTACCATAAATGTTCCACAGTTATTCTGAATATTAAGTTTAATTTCTGTGTTTGATTTTTAGTAGTTATTCTGAATATTAAGTTTAATTTTTAGTAACAAATATCCTATAGATTTCAAAAGTGCATATGGGAAAATGTGTCCAGTTTTTATTTGGATTGTTGTTTAGATTCACTGATTTAAATAAAATAATAATAACATCCATCTAAAAGTAAAGGCTGGTGAAATCTGTTTCAGCATTGTTTGTAATGGATATGAATTGGGTATCTGGCTGATTCATTTCAGTGCTATGGAAGACAGACAAATGAACCACTTCACTTGCTTTTTCTTCATGTTGGATCAAATTAATCCTGGTAGTGTAAACATAACTTTATGACTTGAGAGAGAGAATAAGCTTTATGGGAGAGAAACTCTTATGGCAAAATCCTTCTTTCCCACAAGCATTGTTAATAGTAATAAAACAAGGACTGATTTTAAAATGTGGTTGGATCAGCAGGGATTTCCCTAATTAAAGTGTCTTTTACATGTGTTATCTTTGAGGTAAAATGGGATGGGATGGTATAGTAAGCTGCATATCTTGAGGAAGGGACTGCAGCCGGCTGCAGGCAGGCAGTGTGTGCTTACAAGCCTGTCTTGAAGGACTGGGCACAGCTGATAATGATAATTATATCTGGCCCTGTGGGAGATGAAAGGCTTCTAGGGTCCCAAGAGAGGGAGAAGAACAACTGAGAGGGAGAGAGTAGGTAGGCCAGCTCTCAGACGAGTCCCAAGCACCACACCACTGTTGACTCTCCCAGGGTCTATAGCCAGGCAGGACAAGGGTGAAAGACTATGCTGGAGTTAAACTGAGAGAGTAAAGAGTGCAGGCTAGTGGCTGCAACACCAAGCCCAGGCACTCTCTTTGGGTCTGGAACAAGGCCATAGGGTGAGAGAACATGTATTGTTTCTATTGATTTCTGTGGGAAGCGAGGTAGCTCTGGAGAAAAACCAAGACTGAATGAGCTATCCTCAGCCACTACAGATATATTGTGAGATCAGGAATTAGAGGTGGGGAAAAGCTGAATGGGTTTCACTTCCCTATGCCTGCCAGCACTGCATTGTTATTTAGATAACACTTTCTAGTTGTTCAATGGGTTTATAGTCAGGCAGTACTTCTGATTTCCACACTGTTACTTGACAAACTTTTTTCTTTACAGCCACAACTTGTGATGGAAAATTTGTGTTAACTGGCTCTTCTGGGTATTTCAACTCTATTAATTATCCAAAGCCCTATAATTCAAATATTATTTGCCGATGGATTATACGGTAAGCAGCTTCATCATGTTTTGTTACCCGTGTTCTCTTTTTGTGAGGCATGGTTATTCCCTATAATTCAACACTTATTCCTTTATTATATTTCCAGTTATTATATCCTGCAAAGTATACAATAAATAGTCCATTAAAACAAGGAGCCCACCATTTTCCCATTAAATTGCTATGCCAGTCTATAGCATGATGTAGTATTTCATAAAAGTATTTCTTGAAAAATTACCTTCAAAATAGTTATTTTAAGACTGACATTATCACTGTTAACAGGTGGGATTTTCAGAAAATACCAACATGATTTAGGTGAACACATCTCATTTGGGAAGAAATGTGTTTTGTGCTTTTATATCATTTGGGGCCATATTTCTAAAGGTATTTGGGCATCAAATGTCAGTTGAAATCAATGGAGTCAGGTGCCTAAATGCCTTTAAAAATATGGGTGTTAACTTATTCTGGAAATCTCATCTCCTTTTCACCAGTTGGCTCATTCAGAAGTACTGCTTTGAGGAAAGGCAGTGATTCAGTTATGGCTTTGTAAAAGATAGTATACTGATTTCCCCTCTGAGAATTCTTGAATTGGGGTAATATTTTTTAAACTAGAGCAAGGAAATTGACCACCCAAGTCTTGCTTAAACTCTGTGCCACTTAGCTCCTAATTCCCATAGGCTTCTTTAAAATTCCAAGCCTTTGAGAGTGCTCTAGTAAGTCAGGTACTCCATTTCCCCTTTTGTCTTAAATGGGTAGCAATGAATTAAGCCTTTTGATTTCTTTTTGATATATGCAGTCCTTCCTCTCATGAGTGAGAAAGGACTGCTTTGAGGTGCCCTCCCAAGTCCTGTCCATCTGTTATACACTTAGCAGTTTTTTAGTTTTGCATATAACTATTAAATCCCTTGTCCTCCCCACAAAGTGTAAAATTCAAACTGCATCCATGTTTTCTATTAAACTACCCCATTTAAATACAAAAGACAAGCATGGCCCACTTATCTATGAAAGATGTAATGACCCAAAGGTCTCCCTATCAAAGTCAGCATGGTCTATCTACAGGAAGGGACTGCTCCCACAAACCTCAATGCAGGCCTGGAGTAAGATACCTCCCTTGTAAATACTTCATGAAATACTACCTTCTTGACTTTTTACCTGTAAATTTATATGAATTTAAAAATCAACAAATCAAATTAGTTGCATTACTTTTTCCTTTACAGAAATGCTAGGATTATTTTGCAAAGTGAATGAACAGAGTATCACAAATAAAATGAAAATGTAAGAAATTGTCCAGTATCTCACAGTTTACCTTGGAATGCCACAATTTAAGGAACAGTCAAAATACAGACTTCTTAAAGTTCATGCTTTATTTCTAACAATGCCTTAATGATGCAACAAATCTTTGTAGCTGCATGTTGCTAAATTAGTAAAATAACCTTCTAGTTTTATTCTCCAGTAGTCTGGCTTAGAAAAATTTGAGAACCTTTACAAAGAGAGCCTGAAAAGATCAGTTGGGTGCCTCCTAACCCAGAGACTGTCTTTCTTTAGGACACAATTGTTTCTTTAGGGAATCTTTTGAATTTTTCACTCACCATTGGGATTCATGTTGTTATTCATTTTTAAATCCTCTTGTAGAAACCTTTGAAAAATCAACTTGCAGTACAACCAAGTGTGATCTTTCTCCATCCTTTTCTTCACCAAATAACCAGAAAGCCCTACTGTGACACTTTGAGAGAAGATTTTACACTTTCTCTTTTCTTGCCCAACCAAAGATGTAATTTCATAATAAAAAATATAAAATCAAAGCACAGCAATAGCTTGATTGCAATTGTGTAGCCAGTTTTTCCCCCATTTACTTCTCACAATTTTCTTCTTGGCCTTTTCATTTTCATATATTATTTTTCATGATTTAATCTACACAAAGATGCAAAAGAAAACTAAAGAGAATTACAAGATGCATAAATACCTGTTTTATACTTCTGTCCTTGTGGTTTCTGGCATTCTGGCAAGAATGCTGTCATTAAAACTACATTTGGACTTTTCTTGGGAATTGCAGTCTCGGAGAACAACAAATTCAGGGTGGTCTGAGAAAATTAGTTCACTTGGACTGTGGATTTTTAAAGTTGTAAAATGTTTAATTTTAGAAGGGTATTGAGAGGACCATTTAAAAATATAATACAGGGTCTGAGATTGGGAAAGTAGGGAGGCATCTTTGGCTTACATTTGAGAATTTTCTGCACAGCATGCATCCAGAATGTGTTTAGCAGACGTTGGAGCAAACTCGATAAATTGAGGGTGCTGGAGCATGTTAATTAACTCTCTTCATCAGCTCCCATGTCATGTCTACTCAGCGTCCCCATGCTTCAAAATGGCAGAGGGGGCACTTGAACTAAAGCTCATCCAATGAGCTTTAGTTTAAGTGGCCCAGCCACCATTTTGAAGCGTGGGACATTGAATACACGTGATACTGTGGACACTTTAAGTGGAGCAGGTCTCATAGCCACTCTAATTAAAGCGCTCCCCCCCTACCCCCGCTCTGAAGCACATGTACAGATACTCAAATTTCATAAGCTTCAATTTGTTTTTGGCACAAGAAGATGTGTTGTGGATATAAGAGGAAAATTTTGATAGTTTTACTCCTGACATTCCGCAAATAGCCTCTTTTAAGTCAAATGGAACTACTTTACATGGTAAAGTAATCCTTACAATGAGCACTGTTTCTAAAAGCTGTGTCTAAATTAATGAGCAGTTTCTGGAGAACTGCCTACCTGAATTTCTTATTCAAAATTATGCGAAGGTTCAAGCCCTGAAAGACGTATTATGCATACATAACATTTTCTCTGGAGTTTTCATTCTTACTTTTACGCAGGGTTCATGTTCTTTCTCTTTTGCCATTTGTGTGAAATGTAGAACTTAATCTAAAATAAGCAATATAAATAAGTAATTAATTCAAAGGTCAGAAGGGACCTCAGTGTCCCATCTAGTCCAACCCCTGCCCCTGGCAGGGAAGAAAAATGTCGCCAAATCTGGGATCATGTGATCCCAGCTAGGTGCTTGTCCAGTCTCCTCTTGAAAACCCCCAAGGATGGAGCGAGCACCACCTCCCTTGGGAACCCATTCCAGATCCTGGCAACCCTGACGGTGAAGAACTTTTTTCTTATGTCCAGTCTAAACCTACTCTCCAATAGCTTATGGTCATTGTTCCTTGTTGTTCCAGGGGGTGCCCTGGTAAACAGATCATCGCCTACTTCGTGTTGCTCTCTCTTTGTGAATTTGTACGCCACCACAAGGTCCCCCCTCAGCCTTCTCTTGCAGAGGCTGAAAAGGTGAAGGTTCCTTAGCCTTTCCTTATAGGGCCTTCCCTGCAGGCCTCCAATCAGATGAGTGGCTCTTGTTTGGACCCTCTCCAGGTTGTCTGCTTACCACTTGAACTGCGGCATCCAGAACTGGACACAGTATTCCATCTGTGGCCTGACCACTGCCGTGTAGAGAGGGAGAATCACCTCCCTGGACCTGTTCGTGAAACATCTACAGATGCACAACAAGGTGCGATTGGCTCTGCCAACTACTTCATCACATTGATGACTCGTGTTCATCCTGGAGTCAACAGTGACTCCAAGATCTCCTTCTGCCTCAGTGGTGCTGAGAAAGTCACCCCCCAGCCTGTAGGTACGATGGCAGTTTTTTTTCTGCCTAGATACAGCACCTTGCACTCGTCCTTATTGAATTGCATCCTGTCGCTCTCTGCCCACTTCCCCAACTTGTCGAGGTCAGCCTGGATCTGGTTCCTCCTCTCCAGGTTGTTAGATTCATCCCATATTTTTGTGTCATCTGCATATTTGGACAGGGTGCACCCTCTCCTCCAGATCACTGATGAAGATGTTGAACAGCACCAGCCCCAGAATGGACCCCTGAGGGACTCCAGTGCACACATCTTTCCAGGTTGACACTGGACCATCCCCCACCACCCTCTGAGTGCAACCCCTGAGCCAGTTTGCTACCCAGTCCACCATATAATTATCCAAGGCAAATCTCCTCAGCTTATAAATACATTTAATGCAGTTACCATATAATTTCTGAATGGTCTAGTAAATAACTGTTGTACTTGTGGGTTTGTTTGGTTTTTTTACGATAGATGAAGAAAATTACTGCTGAACATAATCTTTTTGTTTTCATTTTTTTTTCTTTTTGGCTACAATAGTGTGACTCGAGGGTTATCCATTAAACTAAACTTCACCTCTTTTGAAACGCAAGAATTTGGAGATACCTTGGATATTTTTGAAGGGACAGGACAAAGCAAGATTTTAAAAGGTAATGTCTGAAAAATATTTCTACCTGATCATATTTTGAAGTGAATAAGATATTCTATAATACAGTATAACTGTATACTAAGATTTAGTGTCAGCTTCCATCTTTCCATTGACCTCAATTGGCTACTGAACCAGGGGGGGAGGTTACTATATAACTGCATTGCTTATTATATTAGACCTTTAGTTTCATAAATAATTTAGATGTTCTGAGAGTTTTCTATCAAAGATCATTCATGTTTTTAATTGCATTGTAATTGTCCTTGCACTTTTACACTTTTACGACAGATGCCTATAACAGAAAATGGAGTTACAAACTATTAAACTTTAATTTATTCCGAAATTTGTGCATAAATTAGAAAACTTCTTTGGATGCATCCATACATGCAGACACATGCACTTGCAGCAGCACAAATTTGAGCCAAGGATTTTTGCCTTAGTGCACACACCCAGACATGCACTTTGGTGTGGAGCAAGTTGTGCCACTTGAGGCAAAATAACCCTGCCTGGCTCCTCCTGGATCTGTAGCCAGCCTGAGGCTGGGGCAGCACCTGTGCTGGCCTCAGCAGTATAAAAAGCTGTCCTGGTGAGCAGCTTAGGGCTACTTGCTCTCAGGAGCTTCTTGGCCCCAGCCACTGGGTATCTGAGACACTACCTCTTGTGCGAGCTGGACTGCTGAAGCAGCCCTAACCGAGAGTTCCCTGCACCCTTTAGCCACTGTAGCAGTCTGGAAGTAGGGGCTGCTACCTTGCTGTGACCTGCTGAGCACCTGTGACAGCATGTGGCCCCAAGGCTGCACACCTGCCCAACCCATATGGGGACTGTACAGCCACAGCAGAGACATCTGCACCCCTGAGCCAGCTGCCAGTGAGCTGTGGCTGCACGGCTGGTCTTTGCAGTGCTACTGCCATGTATGCTGCCACCTTGCCATCTGGGCAGCTATTGACCGAAAGATGTTGTCAGTGTCGTGGCCTGCTTTGAACTGTCAAAGCATGTCCTCCTGGCCACATACATACATACTAGTTGGGCAATATTTTATTGATATATTTACAATTGTAAGGCAATTTGGAAGCCTACCAGTGTCTTTGTTTATCATAATAAAATAAATTCTAAATATTAATATGTTTTGATGTTTGCTTTTGATTTTCTTATCATATAACAGTTGGAACTTCCCCCAAGCCCTTCACTAACTAGGATGTGGGAACAGCTGCTCCTGCAGCCACAGCTCCTGCCAGCAGGTCTCAGTGTGCCCGGCAGCTGGGCATGTGATGGGGAGATGTGGGGTTTGCAGGTCGTGAGTTGGAAAAAGTGTGGGTGGGTGAGTGTGGATGGTGTGGGGTGTGTGGGTAGGTGTAGGGGGATTGTGAGGGGACTGTGTGAGGGGGATGCTCAGGAGGGTGGATCCCCCGCCCCCCCCA